GAAACCCTTTCATGAACATCTTGGAAGGCTGCTATTTCTTGTTGAGTATTGGAGCTGCTTTGTGCACCATTCGTGCGGCACATAGTCAGCGAAGCTTTGACATGCTTCATAAGACAGAAAGAAAGAAAGTGGTGCTTAGGAGCTGCCTTCCTTGAAAGAGCCACTTAAGACGTTTAAGGAGCGGAACATGTCATGTGGATCTTCAGGAAGCTACTTGACCCACAGGCGGCATCAAGTTTCGGTTGCAACACGGCAGCTTTACATCACCCGGCGCCTGACACCATCACTGAGCCAAAGATGGCGAGACGAGATTCACTCTAGCGCGCGGTAGACCTGGAAGGAAGCCACACGCTTGCATGTGCCTGGAAAAATCAGGGCCTGCAAGGTCGGATCTCGAGTTTGTGGAGGTTGCATGGACCCGAGAAGAATGGCTCAGAGAAAGTTGCTCCTTCATAATTGAGGTACATGCCGAGAAGAAAGCCATGAAGCTAAAGAGGGAGGAAGATGGAGGAAGGAAATCGGCATGGGAAACCACACGAACAAAGAGAACCTGAAGAGGCGCCTGCATTCGCTTTGACCTGAGTCCGGTCAAATTCGAGACAGAAACCCGACGCCAAGTTGGCGATGATCGCGAGAGGTGCCTGCTCAGCGCTCAGGCATCTTTTCCGAGATAACAGCTGCACCGCCAACGTATGCCTATATGGGCCGTTCTAGGCACATTCGCGCATGGCATGACACGCGTCGTGCTGCGCACTTGGACTTAGCCGAGGGCCTAAGTAGCAGCAGAGGCTTGTGAAACGGAAACAGGCACAGAAACAACTGGGCAATTGGACCCGACTGCCACCTCACGTCCAACTAACTAGCTGCTCCAGCGAGTCCGGCGGCTTCGGAAACGGCTGCGGCTGCACAACAGGATCACAGTCGAAGGGAGTGTAGACATGCCTCTTCACATCTGCCTGCGGATGTTTGGAACAAAACTCATTCTGCTGCTCCCGTCTGCCCACCCAGCGAGCACCACACTCGGCACACTCGTTGACTGGATGATAACGTTCTCCGTTCGCGTCGTAGATGGATTGCCAATCTTCAAGTAGCAGGGAGCCCGCCCAAAGCATGTACAGGACGGCATTCGTCAAGACCCAGAGGACTGCAAACAGAAGCCCCACAGCACTGTCGAACGCAGCACTGCAAAAGTCGCTTGAAATCAGCCACGACATCGCAGCTGTCTCAAAGCAAATAACCGCCTGAAAGACACAAGCAAAAAGAATGTACCGGTCTGCATACGTGAGGTATCCCTTCTTCGGAAGGCTGTCATGGATGACGTAGCGATAGGCAAGCACAGCCACGAAGCACGTGCCCAGGTGGCCAAGGCGGTTGCCTGGGTCTCCATTGTCGTACGGAATGGAAAAGCCACAAAGGCTGATGCAGTTCACCAGGCAAACCATCAGCAGGATGCTGTGGAAGTAATAGGTTCCTACGCGCTCAACATGGAATAGGATATTGGCGCAAGACCTCTGCACGGAGTACGGGTGAGCTTCGTCTGCATGACGAACATACAATACACACCCCTGCCCATTCCACATGTCGCAGGTCTTGACATCGTGCCGAATTTTATCACCCTCAATGGGAACGAACTGAAACTCCTCCACTGGCATCTCTGCCGTCAGCCTGATCCTGCAGAGCTGCCTGTCAAGTGGGAAGTGGTGCAGTTCCAAGGTCTCCTTGAACTTGGCATCGTACTTCACCTTGTAGCACACAAAGCCTCCTTGATCACTACACCACAGAAGCTCCGTCTCCTCCACTGTCTTCATAGGTTCTTCATGCAAGTTCGTAAAGCTAAACTTCGGAAAGAAGTGCTTGCCCCAGTCCGGCGGGCAAAAAGACACGTAGGAATCTTTTTTGATGATCATGCGCTTCTGCCTTGAGAAGTCCTCCTCTGACATGGCGATCCCTTCCTTCTCGAGCAGCACATACTGTAGATCTCCCTTCTCGTTCTTGCCAGTCACAATCACGTCGATCTCTGATTCCAGGGCTGAGCGTGGTGTGATCTTGGATCGGAATCTTTTGAGAACCGGATCCAGCCAGTACAGCTTCAACACAAAGACTGAACGGAAGGCCTCTGCTTGATCTTCGATTTCGGTAATGAACATGGGGTTCAGCCTGATGTAGACCTTGATGGCATTCACGCAGGATATGTAATCTTGTTGCCCACCAGTGTAGCCTTGCAAGATCCCATCGATGTATCCTGGCACGGGTTGGATGCCAGCATCACCCTCCGACAGGCATGAGTAAGTGTACGCCATCTCGGGCGCTTGAGCAGAATCTGCAAGGGAATGCGAGGGGTCCAGTCCCTGCCTCGAGCTGCATGAGGCCTGCAGCCGGACTAAAATCCTGAAATCACACACACCGATCTAGAGTGCTTGCGTCTGCAGCTTCTTCAGCCGGAAGGCAAACTGCAGCTGATGTCTCAGGGGAGACTCGCCCAGGAATTGCTCTGTAACGTTGAGTGAAACAAACGCTGACGATGGATTTGTTCGGGCCTGCTCTTGCTTCTGACGTATGTAGAAGTGGGTAGAGTTTGCAATGTACCTCGGGATCTAGGGGCGTTCGGAGTTGCGGAATGTGCGGGGTATAAGACTACAACCCGAGATCCTTTGCATGGGCATGGCCGTGTGCCGAATGTCTGATGCAAGAGCAGGGTTGTACGGATGGCTCAAACCATATGCGTAGCGCCAACTGAGGTTTTATACGTCACAACATGCCTTTCAGGCTCACCTTCCCACCAGAAGGCTTGCAAACAGAATCCGTTCGTCGCCCAGCTGGCGAGGCTTGGCGAGCTCCTCATAGGCCTGTCCTTGGCGATAAAGCCATCCATCCGCCTGTCTTAAAAGGCTTGCCTTCAACATCCTGCATCCAGGGGCTTGCCATCAATGCACTCAAACCGCAACACAAGCCATGCATCTGGAGAGCTGCGATATACATCGATGATTTTGTTGGTCTTCAGCTTCATGAAGCTCTTCAGCGCTGGAAGAAGACCTGGCTGAGGAGTCTTGTCTTGGTCTTGACTGTGTTTGGGAGCGGCATGGAGACAGCGGCTTTCGCCGGCCTCTACCTCATACCCGTCGAAGTCGTCAAAAATCACCTCGATTTGCTCCAGGGTCGAGTTCTCCTTCAACGCATCCTTCAGAGCCTGACTGGGAAACACTTCGCAGACTCAGACTGTCCCTCCGGCGAGAGCCCGGAATCCCGCACCTGGGCCCCGTCATCCTTGAGGTGTTCATTTTCGAACGTGATCCTTCTAAGAGACTTGTTCACCTTCAGGGCTTCAGCAAGCGCCTGGCGCCGGTGGAAGCACGACAGACTATGCGACGACGCGTGGGAACTCCCAGTCCCAAATCCTTTCCAGTTTGAAGTCATATGGAGCAGAAAACAAGCCGCGAGGGTCCTTGAGTCCGGCATTCTTTACATCATAGCTGCTGTCAAAATACACTGAAGTCAAAGCTGTGTTGACCTTCAAGGCTTCGGCGAAAGCCTGGCACAAGGCGCCGACAGGAGCACAGCGGCAGGCAGTAGAACCTGCGACCTCCGGCCTTCATTGAGTCTGTATCGATCTTGATCCTGAGCGATGCTACGGCTGAGTTCTGCTGCAACACTTTCGCCAAGTCCTGGCACAACTTCTGCTCACACCGGGCCAAGCACAAAGGCATCCTGCGATAACCTTCCACACAGAAGCTACGACAGTCCTTGATGCGCGGCAGGGCTCTCCAATCGTCTCCTAGGGGTTCTGGCTCGGCTGCTTGCTTCTTTGTGGGAGCCTGACACGTCCGACGCAAGCTCTGCCGCACGCTACCATCTCTCCGTAAAACTGGGAATTTTCAAGCCTCTTGCGCTTGTTTTCAGCAGCTGCCTGGCTGGTCCTGGGCTCAGTTCGCGCCAAACGCCTGTTCTGCTCCAGGAAGTTCTTAATGTCGCAGAGTGCCTTCATTCCGGTGTACGCATCGCAAGGCAACGACATGCAACCACGTGGCAAGTGCAACTTGGGGGTCTTACATGTTCTCGCCCCTTGTCGGAACCATGCTCTTCCTTTGCAGCTTTACTACATACACTGCGTCTTGCAGCGCCCTCGCCTTCTCCCCAGATCTGTCGAACTCTACCCTGTATGACTCGTATCTGATGTCGACTTGCGTCAGAAATCTGTTGACCTTCACCGCTTCCGCCAAGGCCTGGCAGAGGACAGCAGTGAACATCAGTGTGGTTACACCGTCGCGCATGATGGATGCAGGGACACAAGGGCGAGCGGCCACAAGCTGCGCTGTAGACTGTCGCACTACATTGCAAAGACGGGCATGGAAACTAAAAGACTCTTCATGCCTCAAGCTGCAACAAGCCAGCATCATCGCAGGGCCTTCACTCCATCACTTCCAATGTCGTTTTGTTTCAGATTGACGTTCGTGATCGACGAGTTCTCCGTCAACGCTTCCGCGAGGACCTGTCATATACACCAAGCAGGGCAAGCCTCCAGCGCTGCTCGGCGGTGCTTGCCGTGACATCTGCTGTCGGTCCCAAGCCTTGACTCCGTCGTCGCCAATCTTGTTCTCTTCCAAATCAAGATTGTCCAAGGATTTGTTGGTCTTCAACGCCCTGGCTAAGACCTCGCACGGCAATCATAACCACCTGCATCCACCTGCTAGGTGCCGGCTTCAGCAGTGACGGCACAAAGCACAGCCCGGCGGGCCTTGACCCCGTCATCACCGATGCCGCACTTTCCCATGCTAAGAGATTGCAGTGCTGATTGGGGAGCCATCAGCGCTTCAGCCAAAGCCTCGACTTCTCAAGGCCGAGGGCTGAACTTGCGGTGCTAGCTGCACAGCTTCAGCCCCAGATCGGCCTTGACCCCATCCACATCGATGCTGTTTCCATGTAAGAAGAGTTGCGTCAGCACCTTGTTGATCGTCAGCGCTTCTGCCAAAGCCTTGACACGGGGAAGGGGCCTGCAGCAGTGCGTCAGCAGACCAGCATCACAGGCCTTGATAGCGTCGTGACCTCCGCATTGTGAACCGATCCATGCTGACAAGTCCAACTTCACCAGCGATGAATTGATCTTCAGCATCTCTGCTAGCGCCTGGCACAACAATCGCAGCCGGGGGCGAAACTATGGCTCTACCAGAAGATGGACCCGCAGCCCGTCATCACCGATGGCGCAATCGTGCAAGCCGATGTATTTCACAGCCGAGTCGGGCGACTTCAGCGCCCTCGCCAAAGCCTGGCGCGCACGGAAGAACCTTAAAGCAAAGGAGGGGAACTGGCCACATTGTCGGCCTGTGCCCCTTCCGTACCGACACCCCAGTTGGAAGACATCTCGAGGTGCGCCACCACCTTGTTGACCGTCAGCGCTTCCGCCAAGACCTGGAACAGGGCTTGTCCCGCCAGAAGACGGGGGTCTCGGTGGCCTCGGGCCTGCGCAGTGCCGTCACCGACACGGCAGTGCGCCAGATTCAGTTCCGTGATGGAGGCGTTGCTTTTCAACGCCTCTGCAATGGCCTGGCGAAAGAGACAATGCTGAAGGCTCAGGGTTGGGGCTGACTGCCAGCAGAACGCATCATGATGAGCCTTGCCCGCATCATCCCCAAACTCGCAAAAGTACAGGCTCATGTATGTCACGGCCGATCGAGGCGCCGTGAGCGCCTTCGCCAGAGCCTGATGGCAAGGAGATGCAAGGAGCAACGTCAAGGCAGAGGGCATTCACAGGCCTTGGCCCCTGCAGCCAGAAAATTTCCACAATTCGCGGAGCTGCCCAAATCGATCCGTGTCAAGACCTCGTTAATCGTCAATGCTTCAGCCAAAGCCTGCGCACAGAGAGCCAGATTTGTGGTGTCGGGCACACAGCGCATGGAGAAGAGCTTGCTTTGCAACATTCCTGTAGCATGGACCGTCCCTTGGTTGCAAAATGGAGAGGTAGCAGGTATCACCGGAGATTCGCAGAACAACAGCAAAATCAAAAGCACCGGAAGAAGGACATGCCAGAACCACAAGGGCGCACCTCAACCAGGCCACAAGCCACGACCGGCCTCCGCCCCCGCATCCCTAATCGAGTTCTCGCGCAGGTGGATATCTGTTATAGTCGTGTTGATTTTGAGGACTTCTGCCAACACCTTGCGCACGAATACTGGGGCTTGCATGGAAACTCTGGCTGGGGGACCTTGGCACCATCATCGCGAAGGTCACAAAAGTCCAGATTGATGCTGACCACAGAGGTGTTGGTCTTCAGCGCTTCCGACAAATCCCGGAACGGATTGTCTTCGTCATCGTCAGGCTCTTCCCATTTAAATTCTCTTCGGAACATCCGGTCGAAATCCCGCCCGAAGCTGATGCACGTGAAGGCGGAGCTTGCCTTGAAGAGCTTGCAAAAGGCCTGAAGCAAACTCAGGCTGGCGAGTGCATGCTGGACAATGCAGGATCACTTTGCTGCGACCTGCCTTCAGCCACTTTTCATCCAAATTGCATGATCTAAGGTCCAGGGCCACCGCCATTTGCGCAGCCGTTGCGAAGGCCTGCACGTCCATCCAGCGGTCTTTCTTAGATGCTCCTGCATCCTACGCAGCAAAATAAACCCGAAATCCTAGTGCAAGGAACGTCTCGCATCACGGCCTGTGTGAGGTTCAAGGCACTTTTCTTGTCTCTTGGCTGCAATTTCACCTCTTTGGCCCCAGTGTCTTGGTCCAGCGCCTCCGGCCAGCTGCGCGCACGCGCAAATGTGTGTGTGTGTGTCTGTGAGTGATTGGGAGTGTGTGTGTGTGTGGAACACCTGTTTGCCAAGGTCTGAATTGCTTTTAACATTGCAGGGGACCACCGGGGCCCCGGGGGGCGGTGGTCAACGAAGACCCTCCCGGTAAGCCCGTGCAAACGTACCTGCCCTTTTTCAAATCGTATGGCAACCAGAGTCTTTTTCTATTGTATGGCCAGGGGCTAAGCCAAGAACCCCAACATACTGCCTAAGTGGCTACATGTCTTCACCTCTGAAAGTAGGAAGTACATTGACGAATACCAAACAGAGGGAGGATTGCACAAGTGTGTGCGCGTCTGCGTGTGCGAGACAGCTACCAACAGTGAGCTGCTGGCAGTGATGTCTGCCTTCTGAGTGCTGGGTGGTACCTGCACAATTGCCGTGACACATGCCCTCGACTTATGTCACCTCATGTCAGCTACATTAGCAACGCAGCCGGAGCCCTCACACGCAGTGCATGTGCTTTGGCCGCAGCGAGCCTCAATCTCGACTGTAACTTCGCTCTTGTTGTTGACCTTCTTTCACGTCAGCACACAAAAGGACGTGTGCCTCTTGTTGCCAGCCTCGTGGAAAGTCCACGGACCCTGCTTTTTCTGTTGCCTTGAGCGAGACTGCAGGAAGGCGCTGAGATTTAGCTTGAAAATATCATACTCAGACGACTGGGGCCGCAGGCTGATGTATCACCTCCGATCCTGCTTGCTGGAGTCCCTGCAAGACTTTGGCAAAATGCTGAGCAATTGGGGCTAGCTAGTTGCTCACGCCTTCGCTCGATGCTCTTGCTTGCCAGTCTCCTGACCTGTAACAGTATTGCAGGCGATGATATCTGCCTACATCGGGAGCCTTCATTCCTGCCTTCCCCTTGCCTGGGAGTCATCCAGCTAACGCACTTCTCTCCACCGTCCTACACCACTCTCCGCCCCCCGGCGTTTTTTCTTGCGGGTGCCCCTTCCAAGCCGGCGGTGCCCAAATTGGTCTTCTTGATTTTTCCTCCTTCGATGCCGGATTTCCGCAGCAGGCCCGTTCTTGGAACTCGCAGAACCTGGAGGCTTGCCGAAGTGAGGGGGTCTGGGCCCCAAGGCCAGCATCATGGGCATCATCGTCGCACCTCTTCGGCGTGAGAACTCTGCGAAATTGCAGATTTGTTGCCTGTGAACATGCCGCTGAAATGGGGAGTTCAAAAGCCCAAGCAGGGGCCGTTCGGCTTCGCGCCTCGCGCATGGCTGAGTGAGTGACACCTCACAAACCCCTGTGCGGCGCCCGCGATTTTGCCTCTGGTCGCACGCCCTAAGAGTACGAGAGGCCACCGAGCTGCACACCTTCGGAGCGAGTAGTCCTGCAAGGCGCGAGCTAAGAAGATATCATATGCGAGTGCGCTGCTCACAGAGTGACAGCCCGGACATGCAGCATCATGCAGCGCAAACGATGTCCTCACTCCTGCAAGGCACGTCCCGAGAGTTACCGCCTCCTGCTTTATTGTGCCACAGACAACTAAACACACTCAAGCCGACACTGCACTCTTCTGCTTCCCCACCTCGCGTTCGAACAATGAGCGAATCTGCTCGATGACATTCCTGCATCGAGCACAGCTTCAGCTTGGATTTACACTGCTTTGCCCCTGTAGCAATTGCCCACTGCAGCAAGCTTATGCCACAAAGACATGCATCTACAAACATGCAAGTTGCTCTATGGTAGCAAACGGTAGCACCGGAGCTGGTCCACAACATGAAGCCGCACCTTTCATTCGCAAAGTACATGCTCTGCAGGTCTTTGATTTGGTCAGAGACCTCCTTGAGGCAGGCTTCCTCAGCTCAGAGCAGAGCGCTGCAGTTCTTGTTCTGTATGCCTGAGGAGGAAGCTGCTTTCTTCCGCCCTTCCTGCGACGGACAGCTGCTGTGCAAAAGCTCCGGCATGTTCAGCTTGATTCTCTGCCGTCGCCTCTGAATTCTGCTCGAGAGCTTGTCTGGTCTCGAAGACGCCTTGCCCTAGATCCTTAGAACACTCAGGCGTCGTGTCTTCTACACGGGGTGCAAACCGCAAGAATCGTTCCACCATGGCTGAGAGACAGCACCACCCAGAATTTCTCACCTCAGTATGCACGAACTACTCACAAAGTCTTGTCTATCCGGTCTATGCAATCGGCCACAGATCAGTCTTAAGGCAGGTGGCGGCCATCACAAGGTTTGAAGGGCATGGCCAACGACACGACTCGGGTTTCCCTAGCCTGCTGATCTCGACCAGCGGCCTGGGTTTAACAGCAAATGGCTTGGTATCTTCTCCTCCGAAGCACGTGCACCTTCAACAACGCAGCCAAGTTGTTTGTTTGGTCTCGCATGCTTCGGTCAAGAATGGGTGCAAAAAGAGAAACAAATGAGTGCTTTATGTGCAGCCGCCTCCGACACAAGCACATTTTCTACAGGATGCTCTACGAGCTTCTGAGAGACTGGCTCATCATGTTGTCCTCGATTTCTTGCAACGCCTCTCCTTGCATGATCTTCATTCACTGTCAGTGCTTGGTTTCCACCCCTTTCCTGCCTCCTGAGACGCTGGCCAACTGTCATGTCTGAAGTCCGTGGTCCTGGGTCGACTTTGGGCCCTTCCCGCGCCTGGCAAGCGAAAAGACTTCTTCAGAGGCTCAAAAAGCGACTCGGAGGGCCTTGGCTTCGATGTCATGCTCGATCCGCAGAGCGGCCGTTGCCTTGCAGGCCTGGAGAAGGCAAGGCCGAGGAAGGCTCCAGAAAGCCCCATTCCTGTCGCCTGCTCGTAGGAGAAGGCATCCATGGCTTCAAAGGCACAAATTCAGCATGCGCACAGTTGCAAAGCACAATGTGGATACTGAGGTGGATACTGTGTTGGAGTGGATTCTGCTCACGGCAGTCCGGTTAAATGCAGAAAGCTACAGCAATGCATTTCTAAATAAAGTGAGGTCGCTGAACGACTACGTGCGACAGATTTCCATGGCAGTGGCAGCATACGTTTGTTCTCGGGTTTATCGGTTTATCTTCGCTGTGAACGTAGATGCCAAACCAATGCAGCCCGCAAAGACTCACAAAGGACTTCTGACAATGCCCGTCCAAGTCACAAATCGCTAGAGGAGTAATTGCTGAGTTGGGCTTTGGCGAGAAAGCAGCCGAAAGAGGCTGCAACTGCAAAGGTCAAGGTGCCGTCTGAAGAATGTGAGTGGGGAAAGCCGGGTGCCTAAGGCACAGTCTCAGAGAGCGAAAGACGGAGATCGCGTTAGCAGTATGAAGGCATGGAGATGCACAGGAAGCTCCGGGCCTATGCCAACAAGACGACCAGTTTCTGAGGGGAGTGTGCAGGAGAGGCAAAGCCTCGAGGACGGGCGTTCCGCAAGCTTCCGCGGATGCTCCGGGCCATGGTGGGAGCTGCGCTTCGGGATCAAAGCAAGTGACCCGGTGTTGCCCACCTTGGGGCTGGGCATCCGGGCATCGGCGTCATCTTCACCGAAACTCACGCTTAGAGAGTTGAAACATCTGGGCACTAGAGTCGTGCGCACGCTTCACGTTCTGGGGCCTCGCGGGACCCACTCGGTTCAGTGGACCCAAGGAGATCTCAAACTAAACTGTGAAGGGCAAGGTCCACTTCATCAAGCCACCCTGGGTGACGACAGAAACTAAACAGCAGCCGGAGTCTGGAAAAGCGGAGCCCGGGAATGCGCAGTGGAGAACCCTGGCGGGTTGAGGGGTCACATTGGGCATCGCGGAAGGGTCATGCTGAGGGGGACGTCTAAAATCCGTCAGAGTCAAAAACAAAAGCTTTTGGCAGTGGCGGCTGATCTTCTGCGCATCCTCCTTGCAACGTGCCAGCCATTGTCGGTGGACTGTCCATTCAAACAAGGCACCTGGTCAAGCGAGGAAAGCAAGACAACTGTTCTGCCGTGGGCATACGCCGCTTGCTGGCCTTGCTGTCATTCGGTGCCGAACTAGTATGGAATCAGGTCTCTACTTCCACAGCTGAAACACGGCTGGAGATCTGCGGCATGTGGTGCCTTTGCGCAGGCCGGGGCAGCCGTCTGCTTTGCAGACACTGCCGGAAGCAGCCGCACACTCGATCAATAATTGTCCCCATGGCACGTGCAAGATTCATCTTGGGGTTTATTCCTGGGTCCCACAAGCTTCCCATGAAACGTGCTTGCAAGAGCCTGAGGGGTTCGAAGGCTTGCTGGTTGCTAGCTGGGCAAGACCAGCTTGCCCGCTTCCTCAGTACCAGCTGGAGGTCCAAACATGACGTACTGCAGGGCCGTGTCATTCACCTGAAACTAAACGCAACACAGCCTTTGTTTCTAGGCTGAGGGATGCTGCTTTCGCACCACAATGCTTCTCTTAGACATGCAAAACATTGAAAGTGCTTCCAACTCAATTCGAAGGACGCAGTGCCGCTGATTCGTTCGCTTGGCGCCATCATCAGGATCGAAGATGTGGCCCAAGTGCCCACTGCACTTTGCCTCAAACGCCAGCACTACCAGACGACGTGGGAATTTCTTGCCTCTTCTGGCGGTATAACTCTGAAATACGGTGACTGCTCTGCAGCCCGGAGTCGCAGTGGACCTCTACGCGGCCGTCATCTTCCAGCATCATTCCGACAGAGTCTTTGCAGCTTTGGTCAAAAGATGACCAGATTTGTCAGTGAACAAACTTGGCCTGGGCCAAGTAAATAACCTTAGTGTGACAATGCCCCAGCTGACATCGGAAAAGCACTCCCTCCGGCACTCTTGGACCTTCTCCCAGAGCGCACAGACGAAATCAGGCGGTCGACAGTCGGAATGGGCTGAAAGCAGAAGCATCAGCATCAGCATCAGCACAAAACCAGCAGGATGTCATTCCAAAATGGACAACTGCTAACATTCAAGAACAGTCCCGGCGTGTCTGTCTGTGTCTCTGTCTATATGTGTGTGTGTGTGTTTGTGTGTGTGTGTGTAGGCGCACGAACGTGGCAAACCCCCTTCACACAAGCCTCAAGTCCGAGATTGCCTCAAAAGACTGTTTGGGAAGCATGGCGAGATGAAGTTGCATCTCGTTTGCAGGTTTTGCTTGCCAAGAGCATGGGGTATGAAACCCAGTGCTGAATGCATTTTCCTGTCGCTGTTGCGAGCCTGTCGCGGTCTCATCTAGATGCTTGCCTTGAACCGATACTAAAAGGTGCCACCCGCTTAAGTCAGACAGCTTTTAAAACTTTGATTCGGAGCATATGCTGCAACTGGATCGGGCAGAGAAAGCTCTTTGACCGAGCTGCTGAACCGCACCTTACGCAAGCAAAATAGCCGCGCGTTGGCATGAACTTCCGGCCCGAGTACCTTCAAAGTACACTTGCCAAGGAAGGGCAGCGGCAACAGATTTCAACTCATCAGTCATATGTGTGGCCTGTGGACGTCCATTGCTACCGAGAATCGGTCCTTCCTCTTGGTCGGTTGCGCCTGCGAGAACCTCGAATGCTGACAATGTCTTGACTGAGAACCTCAACAACTTGCTTATGAGGTGCACCATGGGCGCTGTTGCGGTGAAGCCGTTGCCGATCTATCCCGCCCGAGCTTCATGTTCTGCAGCCCGATGCAAGCCAACAATAAAGCCCTTGAGCAAGCGTTAGAACTGTAGGAGGTTTCTCAACCGATAGATCTTCGGGATGAAACTGAAGGCTTGGAATTCATGGACATTGAAAACGAGGGGGCACGTTGTTACCATGACCAGGAAGTTTCCGCACCCTTCTGTCATCAGCGGCATTAACGCAGGTTCGACACATCTTTCTCCGATTACTTCAACCAAGAAGCCTTCAATTCCCAGTCAGAGAGTACCTCCTGGTGCAGTGAGCACTTTTCGCAGTGGTCTGCAACACATGGAGGGCTGTCCTTCCCAGCGAAGCCACTCGGGGCAGTGAGGCTTTCTTCCTGTAGGCAAATCGCGCCAGACTCATTACACTTTCGTCAGCATCTGCACGGCACAAACATGCACAAACCGATTCCAGAAAAACATATCTTCGAAGGCTCGATTGAACGTGACGAGTCCAAAGTCAACAAGTCGGAATAGGGCTGAAGCAAAGCCATCTGTGCATGTCCCTGCTCCTACCCCCTCGGTGCCAGCTTTCCTGTGTTGTGGGGCTCGGATCCCATAGGGTGCAGGCTGGGACATCCCCTGAGTTGACCACATGGCATTTTTGCTCTAACAGTTCGTTGGTTGAGGATCCACTTATCGTTCACCCTGCCGGCTCGCATGGCTTCGGGCTCCTTGCAAGGTCTTCCCGTGCAGCGACACACCCCCCGAAACATCCAGCTCAGCCCAGCTTTGCAACCTTCCTCTTCCTTGCGGGAGGCCCGACGAGTTACCCCAAACATGCCCATGCAAAGCATTGGGAGCCCAGTTTAGTCTCGTTGCTGTCAGCGGCTTGGAGCTCCCACAGCATTGCCCCAAGGGGAGAGTTCCAATCGGACCCCGAAGTGGAACCCCTTGCGGGTACAAAAGATACGGCTGTTACCAAGCAGTCTGCAGTCGCTGACTGGCGGCTTCAGAACGCAGAATCAAAGACCCCCGCCTTGGCGGCCAGCTCTGCCTCTTGCTTCTGCTTGTATGTCATGGCGGGTTCTGGCGCCTTGCCGCCTGCTATGATCAAGATCGATGCATGCAAAAAACTCTGCTGCAAACAGGCTTGCAAGTGACGCCTTTTGCTTGTCCTTTGGCTGGCCCCTTGCCAGGTCCTTTGCCACCTTTCGGGCCTGTGCAGCGCAACACGGCTGCAAGGGCGACCATCTCATCTGCCACGCTCACAGGACAGTCTTTGATATCTTCGATTGCGAATTCATGTTCCTGACAGCAATGTTCACTTGCGAGAAAGCCTTTCGAAGACGGTGATGAGTCAGGCGCTGCCTTCGGTGGCACACGGGACTCCAGACTTGAAGCGATGCTGCATGACTGCAAGGGTGCACTGCGACGGCTCTTGCATGTGGACGATGGGATCTGTGCAAACATAAGACTTAACCTCTTAAGGATGGGCAGTACGAGCACGTGCGCTGCTAGTGACCGCACAGAACTCCGACTTGCAATCTCCAACAGTCACACCAACATCTTCAAGACTCGGGAAGAGCAAGCACAGCAAGTGCCTCTTCATGTTGCTGCCTCTCTTCGCCGGCCACTGTGGAGGGTGTGTCCAGCCCTGTTAACATCATTAGTGCAAAGTGCACGGCACTCCGCATGCAACATCAAGCCCCAAGCCTGCATGTCCTGCGACATTCGGTGGCACGGCTTTCTCCGGCAGTGGAGCACGGGCGCCTGTCACCGCCACTAACCGCACTAGCCTGTGCATCGGCCCTTTTGAAGCTTGTGCAGACGGTGCCTGGCGGTGGAGGTCCGGAAGGCCGCCGAAAGCAGCAGAGATCAATGCCGGAGGCTAGCATGGACATCTGAGCTCCAATCTTCTGCTCTCTGAGACATGCAATTAACTTTGGTCTCGGGCAGCGAGGGGGATGATGAAGTCTTGGCTCAAGCTTTGTGGGTGAAGCAGTTGTCGCACGGTACATTGCTGATGCGGTCTTGACTCCGTTCGAGAAGAGTGGTGTTATTCAGTGCTATGCAGTGGTAGCAGCATGTCAATATGTCACAAGGTGACGATGCACCCATATGCAGTGTCAGGGCAAGTGCAGCACGTTCTTTGCATCGAGCTGCACTCCTCGTCGCGACATGGTCTGCGCAGCCTCATGCGCATAGGCAACATTTTACTGTAGAGCAATAATCGCAACTCTTACGGAGCCACACTTTCACTTGATTCTTGCAATCCGGCCCAGCGTGTCAGGTCCCGCGCAGACCATGCACGAGTGACCATCCATCCATGGTGCTCATGACCTGCACAGAAGGATCTTGGCCCAAATTCTCTTCGGCGCACCGCGATGCACGGAAAGCTTGAGTCATGCTGCCGCTGCTTCTGCCTTCAACTCCAAGTCTTGGCCGTAAGCCTGCGCACTTGTCTCGGCGAAAACGAACTTTTCAGCGATTGTATGCAGCTGGCTTGCAACACACACAGCATGAAAGTCACAGTTCTTGTTTGCAGAACTTAGTTTCATCACGCCTGCATGTTTAAGGTGTGTTCACTGAATTTGTCACTCTCAGTCCACACCGTGCAGTTACCCAGCTATGGTGGAGCAAATCACATAAATAGCTTTCGATGCTGTGAGCCCGGAGCCGCTTGTGCGCTTGGACCTTTCTTCGGCTTTTCGCAAAGGGCCTCTCGTGGCCGCCTGGGACCCAGAGTCGAGCCCTTGTGTCTCCAACAGAAGAACGAACTTAGGACTTGTGAAGCGCAGGTTGGAGCGACCTACGCCCGGAGACAGAAACTAAATATCAACACCGACAGGGCTGGGGCGGGGGGGGGGGGGGGGGGTGTGTGGGCGTCTTGATCTCCGTGCGGATGCTAAGTACAGGTCTTGGCGGTTCCAAGACCATGCTGCATGTCGGTGAATTATTCACTGTTGTTCGTGTCCTACTGCGGGGGCTTGACAATGTTGTGCTGGGCTGTCCTGGATCCTGGCTCTGCTTGGCTGCCTGTCCCGGCCCGGCCAACGTTTCAGGCGAGCAAAAAGAGCTGCAGCTCTTTTTGAAAAAGGCCCGTGGCATCTTAAAGCCGGATACCCGCAAAGAAAGGGTCATTTGTTTCTACAGCTTTCGCGCGCCATGACTATGTTAGCAGCACTGCTGTGCGTGGTTCTGCTTCAGAAGCGGTAATCACTCTCCAAAAGCACCCGGGCTGTTTTACTTGCTGCTGCGGGGTCAGGGACGGCGGTAGACAGAGCTTACGAACGAGGTTCTTGACTTCCGACTCAGCGCACTTTACAAGGAAGCTGAGTTCAAGGAAACAAATCATTGGATCGGTGCAGACTAGCTCAGACTTCTCGAGCCCTTGCTTTCGGCCGAGGCAGGGCATGAGGCTTAGCACTTCCGGTCTGGTCTAGAACTTTGTAGCGATACGGGGCAACGGAAAATGTCGCCGCGCATCCTCCACTTCTCGCTGGCCATGTACTTGCACAGCATTTGTTTGCTGCGGTAGCGCTTGCATTGGCGTGATGTGCAGACTCAACACAAAAGCAAGGAATGTTGAAGCAGAGCATCCAACCCGAACACACTTTGTGACAGTGCCACACGCCGTACGTATAATCTGCTACTTTCATCAGCATCTCTGTCAGATTCGAGACCCCCGACCAACCACATTCCAGTAAACAGTCGCTCGGTGTCCAACGCCACTATCATCTACTGCTGTCGTGGCAGCATGGAAGGCTTTCGCTGGCAGCTTCGAGGAGAACGACCGTGTTGACGTATGTCGGTGACGTACCATGATGAACATTCTGCAAGAATCACGTACGCGGAGCCTGGACCTCTAGGACGAACGAACCTCAGGAGGCCTTGCAATCCGACAGCTCAAGCCCTTTTGCAGCATGCTATGTCCCTTCCCGTGGCTCGAGTCAAAGAAGCGACGGTCACGTCGCTTTCAAACTGCAAGCTAACATGGCCGGCTGTGCAACTGAAGTGCTTCGTTTCGCACTCCTCTATTTTCTTCGGCCTGTTAGCCTGATGTTAACGCCACTTTGCGTTTGCCTGGCCTGAAGCCACCTCTTCGGCCGATCGGGCGTCGGTCAGGGTAACTACAGGATTGGCCAAGAACCGCCTGAACTCATCTCGTAGAGTCCTTGATCTTTTCGTCAGACAGTCCGCCTTCTGCTGTTCGGTTGGCACCCAACGGAGTCCCCTACAAGACTCCCGCAAACCAGCGATGTCCACCTCGACGCGTTTCTCGGCGAAGGTCGTCGACATACGATGTACTGAATCCCATACGGAGCGGGAGTCCGTGACAGGGATAACAGGATACGCAGGCCTCTGGTTGTGAGTCGCGAGGAAGCCGCCATCGGTCATCTCGGAAAACATCAGAGCCAGGTAGTTCCCGTAATCTTGGGCCCGATCCAAGGCACAAGCTTCAGCTGCCAACGTCGACCGCAGAACACGTTGGTGTCGGTAGCTTTTCCACTCGAGGATGGAACCAGGCCTTGGCTCCGTGTGTACTGCCTCGTCGGTGGCCACCACAACCAAGCCACCTTGGCTTTTTCCGCCGTAGGCGTTGCCCCAGCCACTGTCGCCGTAGCAGATGAACAGCAAGTTTGTCAGGTCCACCGGATGAATGCGCACGACGGAGTCCTGGGTCGCCCTGACGTACCTTAGAACTGCATTGATCTCCAGCAAGTCGGACACCAGGAGGTCCTTAGGCGGTTTCTGGATCAGGGAAACGTCCGCGGAGATGTCACCTCTGGTGGTTCCCGCCAGCCACTGCAGTGATCCTATACCGCTCCGGTACTCGGTTATCAGGTCGGCGTGGTCCTTCAGCGGCGTGCTCGGGTCCAGCTTGGTCTTGGTGAGGGGAACCTCCGACACGTAGCCTTCCTGGTCGATGGTGATCGTGCCGTCGTCCTTCTGTCGGATGTGGCGTCCCACAAATTTGAAGTCACGGCTGACCCACGGAGATCCCCATTCAAACTTAGCGTGGACTGCGTCGAGCACGCTGCCGTGGCTCTCAAGAGCGGCTGCTATGACGTCATCCACATGTATTCCCAGCACGGCGACAACGGCGTTGTCCTGGCGGAAGAGAAATAGACAGGGATCTAAGGAGTGCCGAGTCCAGTGAAGTCCCTCCATGACGTCCACCACGTGCAGGTACCATCGTCGTGGTGCGTTGCTTTGTCCGTAGACCGGTGCGGAGAGTTTATAAAGCAGCGAGGCGTCGTTCCACTCCGGGATGGCCTCCAGCGCGATGGGGTCTTTGGGAGGTGCCATAAAGATCGGCGTCGGACGTTCATCATCTGGGCGTCCTTGCAAGAATGCCGAACGGCAATCTCCGTTCCATAATGACACCTTGTGCGAACAGCTCCATTGGAGGACAAGCATGAACCCTGCTCGTGAAAGGACTGGCGAATCACGTGTAAGTAACGGTAAGTGTGGATCCGCAAACCCGGCCACCACCAGCCGTGCTTTTGCTTTGTACTTCCCTTCCTCCTCTGCTTTCGGTTTCCACCTGTAGCAGAGCCTGCTTTTGAGAATCAGGCTGCGATCAACGGCTCCCGGCCGGACCTTCACGGGATGGCATGAACTCCATTTCAGCCACTCCTTCCATTCGGCCTGGACTGCCGCCACGAGGGCCGGACGCTCCTCCGGCGTCATTGCCTTCCATGGGAGCTCCTTCTTGAGCGCCTGCTTCTTAGCGCGTGTGGCTTCATGAACGTAGCCTCCATCATCTCCTTCATCGCCCGAAGTTTCCATGGCGATCCGCTCATGGGCCTCGCCCGTGGCGGTCAGCGGATAAGCTTGATGCAACGGCCACGTCAGCCATTCACGCAGTTTGCGGCTCGGATGACGAAGTGGTGAATAGCCCAGCTGCCGTAGACGGTGAAGATCGCGAAGACGAGCAGTGTCGACGGACCGGGTGGTGTAGGCCGTGATACTCCAGCGGTCACCGGCAAACTTCTCGGTCTCGTGCAGGTTGGAGGGAGAGAACTCTACGATCTGCTCATGAGCGTCATGGTAGTAGCCGGCCACGCGCTTCCCATTGATCTTCCGCCACACCACACCCTCGGGGTCCACAATCTCAGAGCCGTCAGCCTGCACCCACAGTCGTCCTCCGACGTACTGTCCAAGCGTCACCAGGTGATTCACAGACGCCAGTCTCGGTGGGGTAAGGCCCGCACATTGCGTGAAATGCTCAAAGAAGTTGTCGAGCCAGAGAGGCCGTGGTGCTTCAAGTAGGCGGTGAGGTAGCGGGTCAGCTTCTCATGTCTGACAGTGTCACGAGTCAACCCCAAGAAGCGTCCATGGGAGAACAGGCCAAGGACCAAGTTCCCCGAGCCGTCCTTGTCCGCGTGACAACTTCTCGAAGACACCCTCATAGGGACCGCATCCAGGAGCTGTAGGCAGGAGTCGTGATCAAACACCTGATGTCGCAGAAGCTGGGCGGCCAGACATTCCGAAGTGCTGGTAGTACTTGTTGTATTGAAGCACGAGGTGTTGTCATCCCCCAAGCCCTTTGTAACTCCGGGTCGGTCGTCATGGTTTCCGCAGAGGTGCGCCGCCGCAATGAAAGAGTGGTTCTCGAACACCGGTTGTAGTTCATGTGGTGTGCCGTCCCATCCAGACCGCAACTGGCATCCCCGAGCATGTCGATGTAGCACGTCCAGGCGCCGAGTGAAGGGAGAAACATCCGTGTCAACCTTCAGGGCCTGTGCCTGTAGCGGAACGGGATCCTTGTCGAGGTCCGCAGAACCGTCCAAGGGGTATTTGCCGGGGTCCGTCGCAAGGATGGAGTCGAAGGCTTGGCGTTCTTGTACTTCATCAAACCACAGGATGACGTCGGCTGGGTTCGTCACGAAATCCTCACAGCCGCATCTGGCGCACACCACTGTCTGTTCATGCAAAACACGATGTTGTTCACCGCATTGTTGACAAAATGTAGGATCTGAATTCAAAGCCACAGGGAAGGATTGCGCAAGTCCGGCGTGACCTTCGCCATCGCCTGAGACTTGCAGCCCATCATCACGAAGAGCTGTGCTGCTGAACGGAGGGCGTGTGGTGCGTAAAAGGGCTTCTTCCAACTGTACCTCCTCCGGCGTAGAAGAGGCTTGACGCTTGGTGCCACGAGAGTCCGGATACTCTGTCTCGAACAAACGCTCCAGCTCTGACGTCAACCCCCCGGAAGAACGGCGCTCGGATGTCACCTACCGTGATACAGCCTCCCCCGGGGTGGATGACCTACGAGACGCAGACTCACCACGTGTGGGCAGCAAAGAACTGGAAGCCGACGACTGTTCTGGAACTAGAGCGAGATCCTGTGAACTGGTAGCCGACGTCTGTTCTGGAACTAGAGTGAGATCCTGCGCACTGGTAGCCGACGTCTGTTCTGGAACTAGAGGGAGATCCTGCGCCG